TGGAGTTGCAAAACCAAATGTTAGTTATAACTAAAAATATTCTACTTTTGGAAAACTTGTTATTACCAAATATCAACTTAAGATTTCATGAAATCTCGTGAATGAAATTGATAATTTATTTCTTGATTGCGATTTGTTGATGTGAAAAGCTTTGACTTTAACTTTTTTTATGCACTGCTTTTACTTTTAAACAAAATATCACCAGTTATAGCAAAAATGGGTTATCAATAATAAAAAACAACGGCAAAATACCTGAGGAAAACGAGAAAGTAGAAATTGATGAAGATATGGAACAAATTGTAAAAAATGGAAGAAAACAATCATTCAGTAAGGTAAAGGAATAAAATGAAATTGAGAAGAATGGACGTCTTAATTTCAACATGTTAAAACCAATCGTTCATAAGCTTGGTGAAAAAATTGTATAGTAAAAAATTTGGAACAAAGTCAATATAAATTGCATCCTTCAAAGCAATAAACCTGTGGTTAAAAGGAGAGTTCTATAGTTCACTTCAGATATTGCTATTCCCATGAGGCTTCTTGGCGAAAAGAATTATTTAATATTTCAATGGAGTCGGAATAGTCAAATGGTATGAAAAAAGAGGCTATAAGTGGGGCCGAAATACAAAAGTGATAATGAAAAATATTTATTTAATCGAACTCTTTTTGCTAAAAACAAGGATCCTACGAATATCTTTTTTTTGCATCAATTTTAAAAAGCTTTTATTTGAGGATCTGTTAAAAGCACCATCGACAGAACTTGAAAGTACTTATTTACCATCTAATAGCGCATCTAGCGATGATTCCGATTCACTGAAAGAAAACCAGAATAATTATCGCAATGCAGGAGAGATTATCAAAAAGTTACCATTCATAAATATAATGCTAAAAGTATTTGCGTTTTAATTTTCGATTCTCTTAATTACAATGATTTTTTAAAGAAATTCATGCTTTTTCAAATTCTGCGTCATCCTAACACTTTTTTCCTATTTTTCCTATTTTGTTTCCTATTTTGCTAAAGTTCTATTTAAAGGAGCAATAGCGCGAAAGGTAGTATGGAAAAAAAATGTATTAAACGGGAACAAACTACGGCATTTGAGGTAAACTCACATTTTTGCATTGAAAAAATAACCTCTAAAAAAAATAGTATTAGAAAATATTTGGTATTTTCTAAACTAAAAATAATTCATAAAAATCGCATTTAGGATTGGCTTTCTCGAAAGAAGACTGAGGAAAGAAAAAAAAGAATAATTATTAAAGAAAATGAAAAGAAGGAAAAAGAAGTTTGTTTTTTCAGAAAACTCTTGGGAAAGCTACTGATAATCAAATTTAAAATTTAGAATTTGCAAGTTAAATACCAGAAATTAGGTTCAGCACATCGAGCACCAGCATTCTTCCTCTGACTCTGACATAAGCCATTAAAATCCCGGTAAATCCTGGTGTTGCGACGCATTCAATGGTACTTTTATAGCCAAAACTGAAAAAAATTCTCACCTTACCAACAGCTAGCGAAACGAGAGAAATAAATATCAGCCACTTATTTACTTCAGCATTTCGATTTTATGACAGGCTTACTCCCATTGACAGACAAAAAACAAACTTAGTAAATAAGTTTTAGTGGAAATAATAGCAGTTAGCACCAGCCTATTCATGAACTGTTGGCTTCCAGCGAAAAGAACAACGTAGGAAAGATGCGGAGAAAGCATTTCAAAGTTGGAAGAAAAATGACGAGAGGAAACAATCTGAGCGTAGCGAAAAACTAAAACAAGAAATGAAAATAAAAGAAACGAAGAGGAGCGAAGAAGAAACGCGCAAAACTGAAGAATGCAAAAAGGTTATATTTACAGTCTCGAAGCAATCTTGTTGTACAATTTCAAGTTTCAACTTTTTTCCAGGCTTTCGAAACTTGGAAAAAAGCGCAGAATGACAAACTGAAGAAAATCTCCGAAATGAGAATAAAAAAAGAAACAGAAAGGTTGTGCCAAGAAAAAGAACGAAAAGTAAAAGAAATGGATGCACAAAAGGCATTTCAAGCTTGGTACTTTTTAAATTCATGAAGATAGTCTGATCCTACTCTCTTCTTTTTCTAGCCTTCTTTCAACAAAATCTTCTTTTCCTCATTGTTCCCACTATTCATCTCATTTCTTGGTTATTATTTAATGGGTTTCCAAACATCCAGATTTGAATTATTACATAAAATTGCTCTAGAATTAATGAAGATTAGAATATATTCAGAATTTTCTAAAATGGACACCAAGGAAGTATAAAGCAAATGGTATTTTTTGGAGGTTAATTTTTTGGTTGAATATTATATAATTAATTAAAATTCTTAGACTTTAGCAAACTTGCTGATATGAATAAATGTTGAAAAAATGTGTTCTTTTAGGTGTGAAAAGGAAAAAAAACGACGAATCAGCATGCGACTGAAGGAAAGGGAACGAAAGAAGAATTTTGAGGAACAAAAGCAAAACGAACGAGAATACCGCGAAGCATTAGCAAAAGAAGCCTACGAAGTTTGGTTACAAATAAAGGTACTTATACCTCATCAATCTACATTTTGTTAATATTATCAATTTCATTATGCAAATCAATTTTCCGGAAAAAATGAACCAAAAATCGCGCGGGCACGATGCTCGTTCTATTCAAGCAAGTCCCGGCATGTCTTCAAAATTCTCTCAAAATCTTCACAATTTTTCCATAGCATAAACCTATGTTACTTACTCTTAAAGTCTTCAAACAAACTCTGCCACATTCTTGTCGTACTCATTCTAAAGTTTCAATTGATTTCTTTAACATCTCTTTAAAGCATTGCATATTTCCTTAATCTTAGTCTATACTGCTTTAAGTTCCCAGTTCTACTATATTCCAGCTCACTGGATTCTTGCTAAATTCGGAGCGCTGATGCTGAGGTTCGATTCCCCGTAGGAGCAAACCTACCCAAAAATCCGGGTGGTGCTGACGACTCACCTATATTTCTATCGCCAAGGGACTCCCTTTTCCAATGCGACAAGCCAGCGGAGCGAGTTTAACCAGTATTCAGTCGATGCTTCTTTGTTCTGTCAAATAATATGAATATATTTTCTTCAACTCTTCTTAAATCTAACTTCTTAAACTTAAATTTCTTTAATATTAATCAAACATCGCTATATTCCTTTCATCTCTCTAAATTTTCTAAATGCCTTGCTCATTATCCATAAGAGGCAGGCCCTTAATAGTTTCCTCCAAATTCATTCCGCAAACCCTGGATTTCTCCAAAATCCTCAATTTTAAATTGTACCACTTTATACTTTTTCTGAAATTCTGTCAAATTCCCTCATCAAAATTTTTCATTTTTTTCCACTTTTCGTGCTCATCATTACGTAAATTTCTTTAATATATGTTTGTGAAAGGTTCCAAAAACTACAAAATCCCTCTAAAAAAATCTGTCTCTTCTTTAACATAGCTCTTAAATCTTTTTGTATTTCCTAGGTACTTCGCCGAATCCCTTTTTAACTGCCTTTTAAAACGCTCTAAAATTTAACCAGGCAGTTTTTTCTTCATCATTTCTTCATCATTTGAGTCTCAGTTATATCTTATTTCAAATTTATTTATATTCATATTTTTCTTTAATTCAAAATTAATAATAATTTGTGTAATCTTTGAAAATAATTTTTATTTCATTTCACTGCACTCGAAATGGGTCTTTTCCGCAGTGCGTAATGAATTAAATCTAATGAAATTTCGTATCGTATCACAAAATTTTTTACTGAATCGTGAAAATTTTGGTTGATATTAATTCATCATAAATATTGAATCTTAAGGTATTATTTAGTTTAAGCAGTCAAAATAATATGAAAAGCTCAATTGTTTTTTGGATTATATGTGAAAAAAATTTTTAATGATCCAAACTTAAAAATTATCGATACCAATTTGTTTGAGGAAAAAGAACGTGAAATAGCAAATTCATTTCAAGAACGCATTGTCCGCTTTGAGAAAAAGGTATTAAAGCAAAAAACGATTCCTTGGATGCCACCAAGCAATGTAGTTCCTCGAAAATTTACACCAAGTAAACCAAATAATCCACCCAGACGACGAACAACTGCCAATGGTAACAACAGCTGGCTGTTTGGAAATCGACGATCATATTCTACTAACTTTTGAGAAAAATTCCAAAATGACTCGAATTATCAATAAAATCTAAGGACTTCCCTTATTTCTTTTCGGTTGCTTAGAATTACTTATGTAAATTTTTTTATCCTATTTTGCACTTATTTATTCTATACTTCTTATAATGGGTATAATAAAACATATTACACTATATTTGCTCAGCATTAGCTCTCCTTCGCAAGGTGACTTCCCCGATGGATATTTCTCACCGCATTAACGGCCAGTATAGCGAGCTTGTTGTGTGAATGCTAACCATTTTTTATATTGTTCAAAATAAATTGAAAAAAATGAGAAATGAAAAGAATTATTTTAAATTTAATTTATAAAATTATTGATCTTATCAAATTTTTAAATGATAAGTTAAAGTTAACGAAATTCGATGGATTCGATGAAGATGCTTTTTCTACAAAAGGAAAAGGAAACTTCCCATCAGAAATAAAATCTAGATAGCGCTATGCATGTATTAAATATTGAATTTTAAATTGAATTAGTAATTAAGATTACATTAATTTTTATGGTACGAATAAATAATTCCATATGAATTTTATAAGGCTTATAAAAAATTATAGTGAAATATAAATTGCTTTTTTTTATTTAAGAATTTAAAAATTTCCACACATACACATTTATGAGAATAAATTGCAAAGAGAATCAAACCGAAAATATTAAAGAAGTTATTATAAAAATTTTTCATTGCAAAAATGCAGTAAAAAAAGTAAAAAGTAAAAGCAATAATGGCGGAAAAATCGTTATCAACAAGTGATTGAAAATAAATCATATTTGAACAGAAATTTGCCCAAATACTCAATAATATTCATACATAAAATTTCATTCGCTTTACTCGATCTTTGCTGATTTCAGAATAAACCATCAATTCTTCCAGAAACAGGATCAATACTAATATCATAGAAGCAAGGTCTTGTTGGTAGCCCTGGCATTGTTTGTATTTCACCACATAATGGGTAGACAAATCCAGCTCCAGCTGATAGACGCACATCACAAATTGGCAAAATAAATCCTTGAAGTTACCAGGTTTATAAGAAACGTATGAAAATATATTAGAAATAGATATTTTTTAGCCAATTATTGTTTAAGATGTTTACGATTCTTTCATTTCATTTATAATGAGCAAATCTAACTGCTGCTACAAGCTGTTTAAATTTATGAATGTTGATTTTCAGTGATAGAAGTTTACCTCGAGGGGCTCCTGTCAATGATGGGTCATGCGAGAGTGATAAATGTGTCTTAGCCATACAAACTGGTAAATGCCCGAATCCTTGCTTCTCATACAAATTGAGCTTTTCTTTCGCTTTCGGATGGATATCTAAGCCGCTGGAACCATAAATTTCCTGAGCAATTTTGGATATCTTTGATTCTAATCTATCATTCAGACCATAAAGAAATCTGCAATAATTAGAATACTTTCATTCATGCACAAATTTTTCTAGTATTTTCTGGTACTACATTACATAGAAAACATTTCCATAGATTAAAATTTTGCTCAATTTTATAACAAAAATACAGTATACTTGAATTTCGACGGTAAAGAACAAGCTGCAACTACTGCATGAGCCAAATCGATTGCTCCAGTACTTCCAAGAGTCCAGTGGTCGGAAACTACTGCCTTGCAAGCGCCATAACCTAGAAATGATTCAAAATAGCACTACACTTGCTAACATTTCGAGAAACTAAAAATTACCCATCGCTTTAGAAACAACCAAATTGAGTTCATTTTTTGTATCTGAAGAAAATCTATTAACGCATACAACTACTGGCACTCCAAATTTCAAAGCGTTCTCCACCTTAAACAAAATTTATCAATGAATATGGCGAAGAAAAATTTATTATGGTAAGAAATGCAATAGTCCAAGTAAAACAAAAAAACAAAAAAAAACTTATTTCGACAACTTACTAAAAAATTATGGATTGTTTAAGAAACATAAAATAACCTGCTTGCATAAATTGGAATCGCAACCGGCCTCCAAAAGTTTTAAATTTTCTTTAAGATATTCTGTTTTCAGATGTGAACCTGGTATAACTGGTGGCCCACCACCATGCAATTTAAGAGCTCGTATAGTTGCTACTATGACAACTGCATTTGGAGTTAAGCCCGAATATCGGCATTTGATATCAAAGAATTTTTCCATACCAATATCAGCTCCGAATCCCGCTTCTGTTACGACGTAACCATCATTTCCAACCAGCTTTAAAGCAATCATGTCAGCAATTATCGAACTTTGTCCGTGAGCAATATTTGCAAATGGTCCTATAAATAGTATCATAAGATTTTTTAATGATAAATAGAGAAAAAAAATTTTTTTTTAAACTGTTAATTGCTGAATTCCATAAATAAATAAAAATTTTTCAGTGAAAATGTCCTCAAGAAAATGAACAAAATCACCAGCATGAACAAGAACAGGTGTGCCTTCCAAGCTCTGCATTAATGTAGGATATATCGCATCTTTCATTAAAACAGTAAGGGCACCAGTAACACCAAGATCATCAACTGTTACGGGCATTCCGTTGATATCATTAGCAACAACAATTTTACCGATTCTTTCATGCATATCTTTCAAATCTGTCGTGATGGCCAAGATCGCCATGAGCTAAATTCTTTGAACCTATTCTTTTGGCCAAAAAACGAAATAATAATGGAAAAAGAAGCTACTATGTATGAATGTTTCATTACCTCGCTAGCCACAGTAATATCGAAGCGACCGATGCGAGTGTGTCCTTTCTCTAATGGACCACGACCAATTTCGACAGCTCGTAAAAATCTGAAAGAATTTTAAACACAGTCTTGTAAATACGATTGTCTGTAAAGGAAAACCTTCAGCACTAAATGGATATATAAACATAATTCAGCATTCAAAAGAAATTTTTGTAGCTAGATTGCCTTAAAACTTGAAATCAAATCGAAATCAAACGAAAAAATCAATCCCTGCGAAAAAGAAACATGTTCTCAAAAACCGGGAAAAGATTATATGTTAAACAAGGAAAATAAAAAGAATAAAAAATCTACCTACCTATCATTAGTATCTATGACTCGATTCAATGTTATTGAGTTAGGATCAATATTAAGTCGAGAAAATCGAAGACGATCTTCAGAAGATAATTCATTAGCATCATCGACAAGAGAGATTCCAATTTTATCCAGACGCTTTAACTGTATTGCAGATAGTTTTCTTCTTCCTTAAAGTTCCTTTAAAATAAAAAATTTATTTTAATAACAAAATAAATCTCGAATCATATGAGAACCACTAATTAACAGAATTAATAGTTACCGCTTTTATCAACAGGTACTAATCGGTTGAATAATGCTTCATCATTTTGAGTGGATTCATGAAATATTCGAGCATCAATTGCAGCAGCCAACAGATTATTAGCTGCAGTTATCGCATGTATATCACCAGTAAGATGTAAATTAAATTCTTCCATGGGAATCACCTACAAAAGTGGTTTACTAGTATGAAATATGACAGATTCTCTCATAATATTAATGAGATAAAATAATATTTCTTTATTTTTTAAATAATAAAAATATATAAGTAAGAAAGAAAACCTGGGAATATCCACCACCTGCTGCACCTCCTTTAATTCCAAACGTTGGTCCTTGTGAAGGTTGTCGTAAGGTGGCAATCGCATTTAGGTTTAATTGCACACAAAGCGCTTGCACTAAACCGAGCACTGTTGTACTTTTGCCTTCGCCAAAGGGTGTTGGAGTAATTGCTGAATATTTTAAATGAATTACTCTTTATAATAGTAATAATAGAAATAATAGATAAAACAGAAAAATCTACCTGATATGAGTACATACTTCCCATTACGTTGCGACTGTAGGCGTTTCAGTATACGAAGTGAAATCTTCGCCTTTATATCACCATAAAGATCTAATTCGTCCGAAAGAATTCCAATTTCGTTTGCTAACTGTAAAAATTTGCAAAACTAAATGTTATCAGTCAAATGAGGTCGAATTCTTTTTTTTTTAAACCTTAACCATTGTTGACTTATTGACGACTCTCTCTGCTGGTTTGCTGAATTATGCAAGTTCCTTGAAGTCCCTTGGCAACAGAAATAGAGGTGAATCGCAAGAATCACTTGGATTATTAGACAGGTTTACCTCTTGCGAGGAATAGAACCTCAGCATCGGCATTCAGAACTGTGGAAAAACCCACTGAGCCATTCTATTCTGTTTTGCTTTTCTTCATTAGGCGCCTTACGAGGGATGGTGACACACTGGCCAAGATTCGATTCTTGGGGGCAATTATCTTGCCCAATGAGCTACCACCGCACCTGAATTACTGACCCATTTCGGTCGAAGTTTAGGTAAATAATATATTGACCATATTCCTCTTCAGAATTTTTTGCAGCACCTTATTTATTATTCTAATTTATTGCCTTATATTAAGTAAATATAATTTCGTCTTAAATTGCTATGGGAAATTTTGAAAAAACCAATTTGCACTCAGCAAAAAATATCTGAACCAACTTGGGTGATTTTTTTCGGTTTTTGATTCCTTGAAATTTCGATATCTGAAGGTACCGGTGTAATTGGATTAAGTTTAAGATATTGTATTTTCCATGTCACTATTTTATTCTCCTAAAATAAAAATATGAACGAAAAGGAAGAGCTTTTTTTTTCACTTCATTTCATTCCAAATAAAAATTTAAAGCAACTTACTTTGAGTCGTCTTTTAACTGCTAAATCAAAAGTATTTTTTAAGAGCATTGCGACTGTGACGGGGCCAACACCACCTGGTACTGGAGTTATCATACCTGCAATCTTCCTGGCTTCATCGAAATCAACATCTCCGCAAATTTTTCGTTCATTACTGCTGTACTCAACATTAATACCGCAATCGATGACAATAGCACCAGGTTTTATCCAATCACCTGCAATATAATCCAAGAAAATTTTTAGATTTCAATGCTTTTTGCAAAATAACTTTTGATATTTCATTATCTCTCTTGGAATTCACGAAATTTTTTTTTTTTCGTTTTTAAAGAATAATTTAAATATGCATTGTATACTTTTTACCTTTAATAAAATTAGGCTTTCCGATGGCCACAATAAGAATCTCTGCAGCAAGGCATTCATCTTTGAGATTCTTTGTTTGTGAATGGCAAATAGTTACAGTTGCATCATGCCACATAAATAAAGCAGCTGCTGGTAAGCCGACTATTTTTGAACGACCAACGACAACAACCCGTTTTCCTTTCACATAATCTTGATCACCTGTAATCAAAATTGAAAAAGCATCGAATGACTGATCGGATTACTGCATTGAATTTGATAAGTTCTACCAGTGATTGCTTGAATAATATGAAGACATGCACGAGGGGTACAGGGTGCATTAATCTTATCAAATTCACCACGCGCAAGATGTCCGGCATTTTCTCGTGTTAACCCATCAGAATCTTTGATTTTAGCGATTTTTTCAAGAATTTCATCCGCATCAATTGCATTTTTGCAATCGAGTGGCAACTAAAAAATTACAACTATCATTTTGTACTGTCATTTTATTCATTATTTATCATTATAGCAATCATCATAATTATCATTTTGTTAAAAAATTACCAAATCAAATGGTGCTAATCAATTCTGAACATAGCAATTAAAAATACAACGGATTTTTCATAAAAAATTCTTTAAAAAAACATTAGATAACAAAATAATTACTTGCAAAATCATTCCATCAATATTTTTATCGTTGTTTAGTTTCTCAATAACACTGGCAAGTTCCTCTTGGTCGATCTCCTCATTAAGTTTGAACAGTTCAGTTTCCATACCTACTTCTCTAGCTTTTTTAAGTTTATTTTTAATATAAACATTTGAATCACTTCTGTTACCGACCTGAAATCAATTTCAGACTAATCATTGCCAAGCGGAAAAAAATTCTTAGAAATATCAAAAATTATGTTTATAGTTCCACAAAAATCACTAAATTACAGTATAAATTTCAATTTTTTCGTCTCTTTAAAAATTTCTTATCACTCAGCTTTGTATATTTATTAAGATACTCCAGTATTTGAAAAGAAAATTGCACAAATTGCATAGATTTGTTAGGTGAAATATAATAAAATGAAATGAGGAAATTGATTAAAATAATTTCTAACTTGAATAATGGCCAATTTTGAGTTAAAATCGGAATGTTTCTGTTTAAGATTTTTTATGTTTTCTTCGATTTCCGTACAAATTTGTTGCGCTATTTTTTTTCCATCGATTAGTGTTGCCATATTTCTTTTCACTTTATATTCTCTTGATGAAATAAATAATTATTCAATTAAAAAAAAAAAAAATTAACTAGTTTTCAGACAAAAATGGGACTTCAAAAATTTATCTTCCACTTAACATTTAACATTTATCTTCCACATCGTTGAAAATGAATGAAAACAGGATGCTTGCCGATACACGGACTGTATCGGCCAAAGCGAAGCAAATAATTTTCTTTTTTTTCTTTTTTTCTTATTCACCAGGCTAATTTCTCACCACTGGTTGGCCTATAAACAGGAGATCTTTTCTTGCCGCGATACTGCTTCCTAACCAATGACTTTGTGCATTTCAGACCTTCTACACCCTTTTTCCATGATCATTTCTTCACTGATAATTTACTGATAAGTGAATAATACACTAAACTGCAAAAAAAATTTGTGGAAAAAATGAATTTTATAAAATTTCAGCAGTGAAAGAAATGCAAGAGACGATAAATGGTATGTTCACAAGACTTTCTTGATGGATGTCGGTTGAATGTCGGGATGGAATGGCCCAGTGGGCTGCTACGGTGAAGCATATTCGTAAAAGCATTTTTTTCAAAAATCCGTATAATGCTGGCAAGCTACCATCGCCAAGCCTAACAGAATTCGACGTATCAGTGGGCGAGCTTAACCAAATATCCTAGGAAAAAAATTGGTTAATAATAACAATGAAATTTCAATTCATCTATCTAGCAGCTGCCAATTGCTCACAGTACATGGTAACACAGTGGCATGTACCATCCCTTTGGCATCCATCTCTATTCATTTGTCTTATTAAAAAAGAGAACGAAGCATGGTCAGTACAAAATTGACATAAAGACCATCATGCCATTAGAAGCCGGCGATGTGAAAAAGGGAAGAAGAGGAAAAAAAGAAAAATTCTTAAAATTTAGGAAGAAATAAATAAAAAAGAAAAGGAGTTTAATAGCTTCGGCACGAAATATTTAATTGACGACAAATAAAAAAGGAAATGAATTTAATCGTCTCGATAAGAAATATTTTATCAGTTATATCAATGATGTCTAAGTTTAATAAAACTCGCAATCAGAACGATTCGATTTTATTTCATTAAATAAATTGATCACGAAATAATTGATTACGAAATAAATTATTTTCGTATAAGAAATATTTCACATTTTTTTCCAAAATTAAAATTTCAGTAGGAAAGAAATTTGATATAATTGATACAGAAAGAAATTTGCTGAAATTGAAGACATAATTACAATCATAAAAAAATATACAACCTGAGAAAATTAAGCAAAATTCTTCTTATTGCCATTTTATATTTTATGCGTACTTGCGTCGTGAAAATAACGAAGTTGTGTTCCTAAAATAAAGCGCTTGAAATTCTTTAATATCGCTCAAAACCGATCACATTGTATCCCCCAAGCCAACTTGTCGCAACATCGCACTGCATGATTAATTAATGAAGTGAAACTTCATTTTGCTTAAACCATTTATACCCTAGCTCCTTAACACCAACATCAATTATAACTTCCTTAAATTCTAGTAAAGAGTGCAAAGAGAATTGGAGCAAGTGGATGTTTGTTGAATGTCATAAAGCTCTTTGCCTGTTATTAGGTCATCCTAAAAGTTCTCATGTTTTTATATCGTTTATTTTGAGAGTCCATAACTTTATTGAAATCAATATTTTTGTCAATGAAAAATAGAAGATGGTGTCAAAATATACTTTCCAAAATTCTTTCTATCTGAAGAACTCTTCGAAAGAACTAAAAAATGAAAGTCTAGGGAGTATGATAGATGTGGGATGATTTCGATATTAAACTCGGCAAATTTCTGCAAATCGATCTTTGATATGATCTGGTTTAGCGTTACAATGATTTTTTCTTGGTCAATGCTTATTCCTAACGGACTATTTCCAATTCTATGGTTTTGAATTGAGCACTATTTTTTTTTTTTTAAGAAAGCTCAACATTACTGGCTAAACTTATTCCTCTCGCTTATAGTATTAGAAAAATATGCCAAGGAGTCTCTTAGCGATAGAACCACAAGTGGATCCTCAACATCACCCGCAGGTAACCAATAAAATTTTAAACCAGATTAACCTTAGCAAACTATCAAATGATGATCATAGCTTTCTCGAGGAAGCGATTGAGCTTCAAGTTCATTTTTACCCAGTGGTTATGGTAGTCTTATGTTGCTGTCCAGTCTTTATAGCGAGTAAAAGTTCGTTCCATAAATGGGTCATTTTTGCGATTGTATTTAAGAGCGACACGCTCCAAGCACCATTTCATCTGATGCCTCAGCCAATTTGAATACCTATTTAACGAGCTTTCTCTTCTTTCCTTCGGTAGTACCACACGATATCAAGGAAGTGCACAGTTCTTGCGCCAAATTTGTGCCAATGAGTCCTCTGGGATATTTCACCATTTTTTTTATAGGTTCATTTTTGGAATTCAAGGCCTTTTTTGAAAATGTATGTTCTTCCTGGAATTAAACTTCACGTACCATTCTTTCTTAAGAGGCACTCACAGGAAAAGCTATTTGTGTTGTCTATTGTGAGTTTTCTTCAACATAGTCCAGCAGCCCTTTATACTGATACTGATAAATTGCAACAAAATCATTTCTATTGTTCTATGTTAAAAATATTTTACAAAATATGGATCGATTATGTATCTTTTTCGCACTTCGTTATCTTTCTAGCAATTTGATTTTGATGAATTTCATTTATCTTTTCTGCTATTAAGGTGTCATTTTTTCTTCAATAGCCGAATCAGAGTAACCCAAATGCAAAATGTGATATAAGGTGATAAACGGAATGGTTGGCGCTTCAGGTGTTGAAAGGCAAGGTTGCCTCTTGTCTTCTCTTGTCTTAAGAAAGTATCATTTCGAATTATCCTTTACAACGTCTTAGAATAAAGAATAACGACTTCAAAAAGTGAATTAATTTAAAAATTAATGCCCAAATGCAAAAAGAAAATTTTTATTCTACGTTTTCCACGATTTTTTAAGACATGAAAAATAAAAAAATACTATAAATTAATATGAATAATAATTGGTACAAAAGGTGAAAGGTGAAAGGTGAAAAGGTGAAAAGGTAAAAGGTGAAGGTGAAGGTAAAGCAACGAAATTCGTAAAATTCATAATTTTACATGAGGAAAATTGGTCTTGAATAATATAATGAATGAGAATGGTCCATGAAATTCTAAATCATTTTATTCTTCTTCTTGATCAGTTATTGTCGGGCCATATAATTTTGAGATTAATACTGCTTGAAACAAGCCAAAAATAATTACGCACGAACTCATTGATAAAAATTTCCCTTAATTCTCAATTTTTTCGTTTTCACACTCAACGAGTTTGGCTTTATTGAGTACTAGAAATTCGCTTGGACATAAAGAAGGAAGTTGAGGCTCCTCAACTATCATTCGAATTTACTTTTAATACGAATTTACACGGCCACCCGATCATTCTACTCCTGTGTTTTGTGATAAAAATTGTAATGACTCGTTATTTATAGAATTTTCGATTTATTTGATGATTTAAAATAAAAAATATTGAAAAAATGCGAAGAAACTGTTTTGTTTTGCCGCTTTTCTAAATTTCAAAACGATCGACGATGGCTGTACTTTTTTAAGCGAAATGACTGGCAAACTAGTCAATAAATTGAAGGAAATTAAAATAATTTATAAAATAGTGCATATATCTAGGATAGGTTAAATAAGTGTTTCGCGTTCAGATGGGACAAATATCATTGGCTGTTAGCGTGGTTTTTGATATTTTTGCCACTTAACCATAAAAATATGTGTATTTCATCGGATTTTTTAATAGGTTTATAGACTTATTGAATTTCAATATTCAATAACCATAATCTAGTTTTCACTAGACGATCCTTCAGGTTAGTGAAAATGGATAAATAGATAAATTTAAAACAAATTTTACAACGAATAATTTTTGATTTGCGATAATTATTGATAATTCTTTATGGACAATTCAGCTCGATTTCATAATTTCAATACCTAAAACACAAATTCAAATTAACTGTGATTAAAGAAGCCCAGAACTTTTCAATTAATTTTTAAACTGGTTTGCCTGAAAAAAATAAAAGTTTTCCATAACATTTCATTTTCTGATCATAATACGTACCTCTGTAAATTATTTTGCTTCAGGCAAATATTCATTGGAATATTTTGGAATGTTTTGAATTCAAAATAACGATAAATAAATTTTTGAATAACCGAAGATCTTAAAATTGGTGTAATTTCATGCAGTTCATCTTTTAAGGAGCATAATATCCTTATCAATTATTTATGCTTAACGAACAATTTTTGCGCACTGGAAAATTCTGTTTTTCGTCTATCTCTATCTCTTAACTTTTTTATAACTCGTTCTGTTAATTCAATTTTTAGATTAATATTCAATCGTTCCCACTAAGTTATAATTTCTTTCACCCTCTCCCCCCGTATGGGTGGTCATCCTCAATTTCAGGTCCTCCACTAGAGGCCTGAGAGATTGAGAATACTGCGCAATATCTCAGTTATTCCTAATAGTGTGCTCTTGTGGACAGATTTCTGATGTTGTTCCTGGAATCTGCTGGAGTTAAATTTTTAGTTAAGGAGTCATAGTTCTAAGAGTATCAATTATCACTGGAATTACTTTACTTTCATTTTCTCCAGTTCTTCTTTCAGCTCTTTTTTTGTATTTCTCTAACTTCTCATATTCCTTCTTCCTGACGTTCCTGGCCCTTGGTATTGTTATATCTATCACCAGTGCTGATTTCTCATTCTTGTTTGCCACCACGATATCTGGTTGATTGACCTGTTTGTCTGTTCGGATGGAGAAAGCCACAGGATCTTCTCGCATTATTCTCTAATATAAAGTGAATATAACAATAAAATTATATAAATAAACTATAGTGCTATACTTGATTCCATTTCGAAATATTTTTTTTTGTTAAGAACATTCATTGTTAATGTTAGAATCGCTCCTTTGGCTCGTCGCACTAGAAAAATAATGCGAGG